TAGGAAGTTTTGGCAAGCTGAAAGCATTATCTGCTGTTTATTTTCCTGTTTCTTTTATTTTTATTCCAGTTAATGCTCTCCTTTTCCTCCAGAGAGCCCTCATGTAGGGTTGCCCCCAATTGTTTATGAGCTTTGTGACTAAATGAGAATTTGAATGTAAATCTCTTGTTTTTAATCTAGTACTCTAATCTGTCCTCCATCTTGATGTGTTTCAGATATGTTAAACATGTCTGTGCTGGCTAAGGATGATGGAAAGTGTAGTAAAATAAACCTAGAGGCTGAGGAAAGCTTCCGTAACTGCAAAAATGCATGGAGATGTTGTGTGTGTTGCATTGTGTATTGCATTATTGCATTAAATATTGAATTGCATGAAGGTACAGTGTGTTTGTGTGTGTGTGTGTGTGTGTGTGTGTGTGTTTAGTCTATTTTGGAGCTTGGAGGGCTCTTTGTGAGCATTTCCTCATTGGTCTTATAGCACAAGAGAAGATGTTTCTTCTTTAAAAAAAATATGAAAAAGGCTCAGCAAAAATATTGAATCTTTTTGAACAGAACTGAGTTTTCAGGTTCCAGTTTAATTGGGCAAACCATCTCCTTCAGCTGGTGAACGCCTTATGAAATGTGAAATTTGAATATTTCAAACATTCGAATATTTTACACTTTCAAGATTGGTAGCTATCTTAAGAAATGGAAATGACACCATTTAAGGCAGAACTTAAGATTCCATTTTAAGGAATTTAATGTATAATATTTATTATAAGGGGAAACAGTCAAGTGGTTTTGAATTGATTTGAGATGATCTTTGCTCTGCCAATTTGGTACATCCATGTTATTTGTGGCTTCCTAAGACTTTGAGGTGGCTTCAGGAAGAATGATTTATAATAATGAAATGAAAAGAGGAGTTATCCATTGTGAAAAAATTTGTGAAACCTTGGCCTTTAATAGATATGCACCCATATTACCTGGTCATCTGCCTACTTTCAATTACCTTTATGCTTTGCAGAGGCAGATCGATATTTGGATATTGAGATGGATATCTAAATTTAGGTATTTGGATATCTAAATCTAACAAATACAACTATTTCCAAAGTGGGAAAGTCAGTCACGTCACCTTGACTTGGATTCATAAAGCGTCTCATTGATTAAAAAATAAGATTCAGCCTCTTCTCTTTACAGAACCCCAGATAGCTTCTGAGTACTTTTCACATAAAAAAAAGCCTTAAGTGAATATAAAAATGGGCTTTTGTGTTCTTTTTAAACATAGCCTCTTGTGTTTCCTTACGTATTTCAATTACATTGTTTTTAAACTTGAGTACTTCATTTGAACACAGTGGCTGATTATATGTCCCTTCCAGAAAAGGGACATGGATCCCAGCTAATCCTTCCTTTGTTATTACATTTATTTCTGTATTTCCTCCCTGTGCTATGAGCTTTGCAACTCCTTGGGGCAGAATCCCTTTGCTAACAGAAGACCTGGGCAGGTGGAAAAATAAAAAATTGCATATCTCTAGTTCAATGAAAAGGGCTAGGGGAAACACAAGAGCAGTCTCCCAATATTTGAAAAAGCTGTGGTGGCGCAGTGGTTAGAATGCAGTATTGCAGGCTAGTTTTGCTGACTGCCGATTGTCAGCAGTTCGATTCTCACCAGGCTCAAGGTTGACTCAGCCTTCCATCCTTCTGAGGCGGGTAAAATGAGGACCCAGATTGTTGAGGGCAATAGGTTGACTCTGTAAGCCACTTAGAGAGGCTGTAAAAGGACCTTGAAGCCGGTATTTGTCTAAGTGCTATTGCTATTGCTACATTTTCAGGCCGTTTTCCGGCAATCACAAAGACAAGCTGGCCAGCGTGCCGGAAACCAGAAGAGCAGCTGGTGATGGTGTGGATGCCCACAGAGAGGGCTCTGCGTGCCACCTCTGGCATGCGTGCCATAGGTTTGCCATCACGGGTATAGGGTCTCTTATTTGAGCAGGGGGTTGGACTAGAAGACCTCCAAGATCCCTTCCAACTTGGTTATTCTGTTAATTTTGTAAACAGTCTTTGAACATTATCACTTTTCCTACCTTTCAAATTTTGTGTGTATCTGCCTGGAACACACTTCAGTTTGATCTCACACACACACACACACACACACACACACACACACACACACACACACACTTCAGTTCCAGAAAACACAGCTGATATTATTCTGAAAGAGCAGGATGGAAAGGAAGAAGTAAAACATTAGCAGAGCAAAATTTGCAGTATTGCCAGCCTTGAAAAGAATAGGTAGCACTTGGGTGTTTTTCGTAGTTGCATTAAGCATCTTACTTCCACCGCCAGCCTCAATCCTGCAACGTAATCACATTGGAAATTTTTTTTATTAGAAAACAAACTCTAAATGAGAGTTATGAATATTCATTAGGAGTGGAGATTAATATGCATAATTATGCAAATTAGACAGCAATTAAACACCAATTCTCCGGGGAAATGATTAACACAAAAGGCTTCGGAATGGAAGCATGTAATTTTGAAAGAAATTTCTGGTTAAATGAACAGTAGGGAGAGGGAAGCAAAGAAAAAGATGGTGTGTTTCTCATAATAATATGCTTTTAAAAAATACACGTATACAAACATAGTAGAGTTGGACTTCAAAGCCTCCTTGTGATGATAGAGCTGTAGTTACTATCTGAGCATGAGATGAAATTAAAGGAACCATTCTAAGATGGACACCGTCTCCAAATGAAGCTGGTTTGCCATCTTGGACTTGGCTGATTTCCAGATCTCTCATTGCAGCATTAGTCAAGGAGAGGAAACATCCTATTGGAAACGAAAAATACCCTTTGTACACACAAAATGTTCCCTGCCTATAATATTTTGGACATGGAAGGGGACGGTCTTGTTCCAGACATGGTTGATTTGCAATCATATCACAGCAGAGATGAAGATCAGGAAATCCAGGCAATTCAAAGGAATATACAGGTTTATTATACGCTAAAACTTTCTACAAGAATCTGAACTACTAAAGCAAATTGGCGGTAGATAAGAGTCAATGGAATTCAAGGGGGGGCTGGACCAGGGGTGAAATGCTACCGGTTCGCACCGGTTCACCCAAACCGGTGGTAAAAAAATGCTACCTGTTCAGGTGAACCAGTATTTCCAACGATCAGCTGTGATGCACAATTTGTATTAGCTAGAAAGCAGGATTTGATGCTTTCTAGCTAATTGTGTGGCACAGCGGATTACACACACACACACACACACACACACACACACACACACACACATACCTGTTCTACTTACCTTTGCAGGCACGCTCATTAGCAGGCTCCGCCCACCCACCCGGACATAATCACATCCATTTTTAATGCTCTGCGAATGTACAGAGGTGGTGCGTGCGAGCCCAATGAGCATGCGAGCCCTCACATTTGTGAACCGGTAGCGAAGGTAAGTAAATTTCACGCCTGGGCTCTGAGTTAGATCTCTTGTGAGCAGGAAGGGATTCGAGACTGATAACACGTTTGACCCTTCCCTGGGGCTCAGCCTGGACATCTCCTATGATAGGACTAAAACCATCTTCTGACCAGTTAAAAAATGCCTGAAGGTGTCGGTCAGTGGGAGGAGACCAGCATAGAATTGCCATCCTATTTTGTAGGAACTTTGCTTATTTATTTATTTGCAGAATTCAAACTGTTCCCATACAAAAACACTTGGCAGCTTGAGAGGGAGGGGCTGCTCTAGTCTAAGGAGAGCAAAAATAGTGGAGTAATAGCTTCTTCAAAAGACGGTTAGCTCATCTTAAGCCATCTTCCTCTGCAGGGAAGCCAGGAGTACATTCTTGATTCTTCTTGTACTTTGTCAGTATTTGAGTTGGACCTTCCCCAACTTGGCAGCCTCAAGATGCATCGGGGCTAAAATTCCCAGAATTTTCAGTTGGAATGGACAATTCATAGTGTTCATGAATGTATATAATACTACAGCGAGATCTAGCTTCTCCCGAGCGGATGTCCATAACCATTTCCCAGAAACTCTACTCGGCAGCTGTGCTGCTACTTCCATAACAAAGACGAGGAATTAAATCTCTATGTGGATGAGAAATGAAGAGGTCTATTTTGCTGCAACATTTCTTCACACTTCTGGGGAAGGTGATTTGCTTTTTGGGGTCCTCATTTCATATCTGGGAGAAGTTCAGTCAGTGCTGAAATGGGATGGAGATATCAACAAAAGAGGAAAGTCCTCCTTGATGATAACAAGAGTCTCGGCACGGCCACCTCATCTTGCCATGGCCACGTCACCATGGCCACCTCAACGCGGCTACCACCATCTCAGTGTGGGACAGATTGCCAGCCTGCTGGAGGCTGGACCCAGATCTGGAGACACGGCATCTTCTGACATTGTGGTTGACGAAGGGAGGTGCCATGTAAGGCCACAGCGAGTTATGGCAAGTTTTCTGTGATGATTTGTCCCGTGCTAAGATGGCGGCGCCAAGGTGGCCATGCTGAGATGGCTGTGGTGACATAGCTAAGATGGCAGTGCCAAGGTGGTGGTGCCAATATGTCTCATTCTGGACCACTTATAACTTCTTCTAGAACATAAATGGTGGACCAATTAAGTTTGGCTGAGAAAGAAAATAATTGGCTCCATTAACTGTCTCCTTCCCACCCATCCCCCTTCATAATTTGAGCCTACTGAATTTTCCCACCGCCTTTTCCTGTAATGTTCCTCTAGCCAAAGCAGCTTTGGGAAAGGTAAGTTGTGTGTGTTACAACTCCCTTGAGGTGTTACACATATTAAATAAAATTTGCCCTCTCGCAATTTTGCCAAACATATCAACTGAGGCTCCTTTGAAGCTGAATCTGTGTGGAAAATTTGCAAAACAGGAAAAAGTCAGTGTTGGTTTGGGATTTTCATCCAAATATTTTTGTATTTGTGAAAGGAAGAGTTAATTTTGAGAGAGTTTGTCTTTTGAAGATCCTGTAGATCAAAGTAATCTTTGTTTTTTTCTCCCCTTCTTTCCCTGGAAGGTTTGGATGAGCGACCGACTTCAGGTTCTTGGGCAACAGGAGATCAGAACAACTCCACGTTTGACCAAGTCAGGGTAAGGATCGGGAAAATCTGTTCACTGCAAGATCCAAATAGATCTTTTGGGGGTGGGTGGAGGGGGGGGGTTGTCCACATACATATGTGTCTTTTGAGATGGGAAAGTGAACTACCCCAAATCCCATTTTTCTGAAAATATAGGAAAAGTAACTTTCCTCTCACCCTAATTCTTGCTGAGCTATTTAATTTTGAGGAATCAAATCTGTAATTTTAAGGAATTATTTTCTGAGAGCATCCTGTCATATGTCCTATAGGAAATCAATCCATACTCACAAGGTGAAAACAATAACTTTCTTGCTTGTATATGCTTAGTGGGATCATATTTGAAAGATATTCTTTACCTTTCTCTTCAGCTCCTAAATCTCCCAGACCTGCTTATGTACAATAATGTAAAATCGGTGCTGCTCATTCAGCTTTTAGTCTAATACAGAAAGAAAAAGGGATGAAGAAGGAAGAGGAAATGACAGGCTTAAGAATCAATTCTTAAAAGTTCTATTGCAATTCAAGCTAAGTTCAGATCTTAAAATGATCTGCTGGAATGGAAGTAGTTGAGAGAAAAACAGAGCTTGAAGGAATAGGTATTTTCACAAAGTTGAGGATTATTCCATGGTACCTAATGGAATGGCTGATATACACTTAAGAGATTGTCCATGAGATTAAGGTTCTGCTTAGCTATCTCAGTTAATTGTTTGGTCATCTTGTTTTTGAGTCTGACCTGTCTTCCTTCCACCATTAATCATCCATCTTTTTGAACTATGTTGGACTTCTTTTCTTCCCCACTATAATAGCAGGTGAAGAGAATGGTCTTTCCAGAACCTTCCCTGTTCTGGAGAGTATCATATTTATTTAGTTATGGAATTTAGAAGCCACCCATCTAACACTGAGGTGGATTCTGTCTTTTATGATGGAGACTTCTGTGTGTGCTGAGGTTTTTTTAATTTTCTCACTTCGCTCCATAACCCTGAAGCAGCATGGCTTAAGGGAAGTGTGTTGACTTATTTAACTTCTGCACCACTTCAGCCGACACCCAGTCTGGCGTAGTGTTTAAGGCAGAGGTCTTCAAACTTGACAACTTTAAGGCTTGTGGACTTCAACTCCCAGAATTCTCCAGCCAGTATAGCTGGTTGGAGAATTCTGGGAGTTGAAGTCCACAAGCCTTAAAGTTGTCAAGTTTGAAGATCTCTGCCTTAAACACTACACCAGACTGGGTGTCGGCTGAAGTGGTGCAGAAGTTAAATAAGTCAACACACTTCCCTTAAGCCATGCTGCTTCAGGGTTATGGAGCGAAGTGAGAAAATTAAAAAAACCTCA